GAATCACTTATTATAAATAAGAATACTCAATAAGTACTCCGAAAATTTTGAGATCATTGATCAAGAAGAATAATGACCATTAATTGAGAGGATAGTTCGATAATTTACGAAAAACAATTTTCCATTTCAATCATATTGATTTTGTGAGAATCTAGGTACTTGATATTTCAGCCATACGGAAAACCGGAAAATCCACATCACGCTATTACTCGATGATACGTCTGAATACAATAGTATTCTATTTAATAATAGTATTCAGGTTGAAAATACAAACACTTGAAATACCTATGAAATTCAGGAGCATAAATGAAAAAATCATTATGAAAAGGAAATGAGGTATAGTGAAATAAGAAAAAAAATGCACCGTGAAGATAAAAATAAGTAAGAGTTATTAAAATATATAATAAAGAAAAACGAGATTTTACCTAAATATTCACTGAAAGTATTCACCAGTATGTTGGCATTTGGAATATGTATCTCGTCCACTTGGAATCACAGTTCTCTGTGAACTTAGAAAGTAGTCGGCCTATTCACAGTTACGCGAAACTACGTCTGTAATTGTATCAACATGAATGAAAGGAGTGTGCCACGTAGAAAATCACGAGATGGTTCAATTGCTCTGTACGACTCATGAAGGTACTGTCACTTGAACTGAATTTCTGTTTTTCATAACTGCCCTCATCCGGATTGACACAGTGTCTCATTGATTTTATTTAGCCGACTAAATAAAAGTGAAGTACACGTATACGAAATCCAAATTACACCTGAAATTATTACATGAAGAAGGTTACCGTTTTTACTCAATGAGCTGAAGTTTCGCCTTTAGAGTTTCAGAACAGTCCAGAACATTCGAGAGAATTCAACAGCATTTCACAGCATTACAAAACATATCGTGATATTTTGGAAATTTCTGGAATAGCCTGGAATATTCAGGATGGTCCAAAAACATTCTGGTCATTGTGATACATTTCAAAACAGTCTCGAATGCAGTGGAATGTTCTGGAACATTTTAGATCATTTAAATCCTTATTTTTATAGGTAGTGTCACCCATTAGTAGGGGTATGTAAAGCAAGATTCGTCGTCCTCTTGAAGTTTATCCTTTTATTCAAGTACCACATAATCTTATATTACCTATCAACTTCCTGAGCAAAGACGGGTTATATTACCTTTCAACTTCCTGAGCAAAGACGGGTATTTGAACTAGTAACTAGCAACTAGACAATTCACTCAAACGAAAGTATGTTCACTATAAATTTTAATTTTAGAATAGGTAGTACCTATCTACCGGACGACAACAGAAAACAAAAGTACTACCGTGTCTCATCAGTTTCAGAAAGACAGAGAGAAAGACACACATACGAGACGAGTACAGGGTATTTAGATCTACATCCTCTCCATATTTTTCTGGAGAGAGAGACTAGATAGACTTCATACAGACCAATTGTCAATTGCACAAATCAATTAAATGTAGAGTGCAACAGACCTCTGACTTTATCTTCCAATTGTCAACTACGAACTGCCTTATGAAGTACTATTCCCGAGTAGAGAGGACTGAATTCTCCGGGAGAAGAAAATATTAAGAGCAGATAGTTGTTGATTCAGAAATGGATCAAAATCAGCTTTCGTTTCCAGTGCAGGTGTTTTTAGTCGCAGACCCAGGACAGAGATATCTATCTGCCTAGCGAGAATCTACGCTGCTTAATTGTGTGCGGAGAGATTGGATAAATCCAACCTCATACACAAGTCAATAAAAATATTCTCGGATAGTCAAGCGGCGTTGGAAGCTCTTGGATTCTATGGAGCAATGTTTAAATTGGTAGCAAATTGCCAAAAACGACTCTCCTCGATAGGAAGACTTAACATATTGTCTCTGGTCTGGATTCCTGGCCATGCTGGCCTGGAAAGTGATAAAACTGCTGACTCTTTTGCAAAGGAAGGTGCTGCAAGCGGCTTTATCGGACCAGAACCTGTCATTGGCATCGCTTTGGGCTTTGCCAAACAAACACTGAACACCTGGATGGCAAGATGATTTATGGACTTCTGGCAGAATCTTCCAGCATTGACTCACTCCAAGGCGTTTATCCATCCTTCGAAGCTTGATACCAAACCGTTGTTGGACTACAGTAGGAATGAACTACGATGTCCAACAGGCCTTCTTACTGGTCACTGTCATTTGAATCATCATACGCAGATACTTGGACTGTCGGAAGACCAGTGTGTGTCGCCTCTGTTTGGAAAATGATTAAACAGCAAAGCATATACTTTGTGCCTGCCCCGCTGGGGACCGAATCAGGTTCTCATAGTTCGGCAGATCTGTACTCTTACCATCTGACCTGAAAGACCACACACCATACAAACTAATCGGGTTCGTTAAGAAGCGTTTATTTGGCCGAGTGTGAATAGGTGTGAGCCACAATAAACCCTTGCGGGTTGCGGTGGAGGGTCGAATAAACCCACTCACTTTAGACTTAACCTAACTAACCTAACAGGATATTTCATTGAGCGCTTCCTATCTTTGAATCTAAATGAAAATAAGTATGTGTGAGATATCATCAAATTATTTTATTCGTCTAAGAGATCTCTTGATGACATCATGCCTATTCCTATATAGGGCGTTCCAACGAAAACTTGACCCCCCTCCCTGTAAGTTTTATTTCTAGGGGGACTATTTCTTATATGGAAATCACACCCGAAATTTAACCCCCCTGCGGCAGTAACTACCTCCCTCCCTATTTTATTCAATAGCATAGGGGGTCGAGTGATAAATCATTTGAAAGGTCTTTTGTCCCTCTATTACTTTTGTAATTTTTCTCGAAAATTCGCTGTCGATCATTTTATCAAAAGTAATATCAATGGCAACACAATCAACGGATAAAGTGTTCAAAATGACCTCTATCTGGTTCCATACAATAATACAGTCTACATTGAAAAGCGTTCCTTACATTATTGAAGATGTCCGGAGTCAGAAATCGGCATTCCGGAACAATTCTCTGTCGCAGGTCTTCTGTTTAACGTATTGATGGAACGTTCATCATTAAATTTCTCAATAACGAATGAACCAATTTCGAAAAATATTACAGAAGTAATAGAGGGATACAAGACCTTTCAAATGATGTACACTCAACCCTCATGCCTATAAAAAAATAGGGGGTAGTTGCTGACAGAATTTGTCCTCCTAGGAATAGAAATTGACCTGTTCTTTGAAATTTTCGATTTGAAAATTTTGATTCAGGGGGTCAAGTTTTCGTTGGAACGCCCTGTATATAGTTTATAGTTAGAATGCGGTTAGTTACATTATATGAATCGAAATGAATATCTGTTTCTTCGAAATTTCTGACTCACTTATTTTTGTACTCTCTTTAATTGTCGTGATAATAATGATGGAAGTTTCTGTTGAAAAACGCAATCAAAAATAATGTGATAACAAAATAAATCACCATTATGTTTGCAAGAGGGAAAATATGTGCAGTTTCTGTCGGAAGTGAATAACTTATAGCAGAAAAGAGTAGAATCGCTATCGGCCAGTTTATAAATGGACTAATGGAGTGCATTATCTCCCTAATCTGACAAATGGCACCATAGATAGGGGATGTTGTGACAAATCAAAATTAACAATCCCTAGCCAAAAATGCCACGATAAAACGTACGAAGCAGATTGCCATTTGAGGTCAATACACAGGATGTACTGAATTTTTTGACGACAGCGTACAATGTACTTAAACGGTTCTAATGAAAACAGTGAGTTGATGAAAAACCTGCTCGGAACTAGTATTAGTAATTGTGAAGAATGGATATAATTTCCAAAAAAAAGAAAAAGCGCAATGAATAGGTTTCTTGATGTTTTTGGGTTTTTAACCTTCCATATATAGTACGATGCAAATGTATGGAATAAATTCGATATTCACAAAAGGAGCGTCTTTCGGAAGAAATCCAAAAACAAGTCAACTTTAATTTTTGACGGCCCATCTCATGATATTCATATGAAAGACGTTTCGTCACCAGTGTTGGCGTGATGACGTAATCGACAATTTTTTTAAATGCAAACAGGGGTCATGTGGCACCCCATTCAAAAGGTATACTAATCATCTATTCAACGGTATAACCATGCCAATATTCATTTATACAAGATGAACCAAAACATGGTATTTATTGAAGTACAATAAAATTATAATAAATGTTCAAATTGATGACCTTCAGCTATGATGCAATGTGAAAGCCGGGCACTGAATTCATTTCTAACGTTTCCGAGAACTTCGGGGGTTATTTGTGCAATCTCCGCTCTGATGCGTTCCTTCAACTCTTCTAAATTTTTATGATCCCCATAAAAAAAGTCTAACGGGGTCAAATCCGGAGACCTTGGTGGCCATTCGATCGGCCCTCTTCTTCCTATCCACTTTCTCGATACATTGTATCGTACTGTATAAAAATACATCTATTCGTAGGTCAACAGATAATCTGCTCAAGTGTACTGAAGGTCAAACTGCGTAATAAAATATCTGGAGAGTCTAATTAGCCAGGAACGTTACACTTCTTTAAAAAAATATTTTCGTGGAATCGGTTTGATTTGGAACGTTATATGATGGTGTAGCAATATTAGCTCTTATGTAGAAAAAAATCTGTTGTAGTCTAATTTTCATACCATCATATACACCTCAAACCATTGAGGAGTACATTTAAAATCCTAATAATCTATTGATGAAATTTGGAGTAAACAGTTTTGAAATTGTATCAATATTTGTACTTATGTAAGTATCAAGTTTTCGCTTACTTTAGTGTTTATTTTTCACTACTTGACTTGCGTTTTTTATGTATGGTTCTAATCATAAAAAAAACAAATCTTACCCGAAAAAATTAGTTTCGATTGTGGACAATGAATGACACGAAAAACCCTTTTTTCTATTCATTTTGTAGTCCGTAATGAATTTGAAACAGATATACACAGGAACGCTACACAACGTAATATATAAAAGAGTATTGATATAAAATGTGAATGACTTACATGGAAAGCTAACAAACTTGAGGTGATCTTTTAGAAGTTTACAGCGGAAAAACTAGTCTCCAGTTCCTCATCAGCATCTTTTTGGACATCTTTGAAAGATGATTCATCAAATTTTCACAAAAAAATTATGTCACTGGAAGAGACAAATCTGCTCTATCAAAATGACAGTTCATAAAAAAAAAATTCATACAGCCAGATATTTTAAACCAAGCCATAGGAATTTCGTTTACTGATAAAGCCCCTCCCCACAGCAACTAAGATGTCGAGTGACATCTTATTAGAAACGTATTTCCATTCGGTATTCAACCTTGTAACTTGTTTCACATTCCAATGATAGGCGATGTCAGAAAAATAAAATACTCTTATGAATTTTTTTTGTTTTTTTTCTTAACCAGTAAAGAATGGAAGTCCGAACTAATGAAATTCATTATGAAACATTGTCAATCACCTTCAAACAAGGAGAAATAAATTATTAGAAATTCCGTGTTTAGTAAGAGAACCAGTACATTCCTGACAGTTCCCTTTATTGTCCACAACCATAAACTAAACGTGTTTTCTTTAAATGTGGTTGATTAGTTAATTTGGGAAAAGATGAATCCTCAACTTTTCGTAAGCCAAAGCAGTTTCGTATGAACAAGAATGCTCTGGAACTGAATTTACAATTATCCTAACCTTCAGCATATATTGTGTAACCCTAAAGACAGAATGATCGGATCCAAAATCTCTGGGATTTTTGAATTATGACGATAAAGTACGAACTATTGAAACTCGTTTCAAAGAACACGCGGAATATTTTTCAATTTCACAGACTAGAAAAGTCTAGTGTCTATTAATACACATTGGAGTACAGCCGTAGAATAGAGTGTTATTTCTTGATATCGTTCAAATTGGTACATTTTACTAGACTTTTAGATGCTTTCAGGTGAGGCATGAAAACTATGAAAAGTAAACTTTCCAAATAAATCATTGTACACGACTAGAGGGAAAGTTCAAGTAGATTTGTACTTGAGCCGAGTTTTGTAGTTTCGGTGTGTGGACGTGTTTTTCTTGGAGAAGTCAGAATTATCTTAAAAGTTGTAACAAATGAAAATATTTTTTGTCTTCATAAAAACCCACTCTGAACTTTTAAATTATTTCATAATTTATATGGGATTCTAACAAACTCTTATAGAGTATCATTCTTTGCTTTGTGTCGACACCTGGGCTGAAAATTTCCGGACCACACAATCATTCCAGTGCGGCTCTAACATTTCAATACAACTTTTGTAGAATAATTCATCTTTTGCCTCGAAATAGGCCTCAGTTTCAGCAATAACTGAGCGAAATTTCTTACCGGTGAGCATTTTTTGAGGTCTGCCAGCCAGTAGTCGCCGGGAGCCAAATCTAGCGAATTAAATAAATATGGTAGATGGGGGAGTAATGAAGCCCATTTCATGGAAATGGGGTCGTTTTTCCATGCATATAATAATAATAATAGTGTCGTTTATTTGGCAAAAAAGAAAGTACACGAAGGAAAATATAATGGGTTTGGTAAAATCCTGGAGCGGAATTCAGGAGATAAGTGTGTGCAACACGCCGAATTCTGCTCTTCCATTCAACTCCTTTACAATATACAGAACTCAAAAGTATTCATCGAACATATGATGTACGAAAAATTATAGTACCTATGTAGCAAGAGAGAGAGAATAAAATAAAAGGAATAAAAGAGGGGCATTTCATAATTCTTACAGAATAACTTGAATTTTTGCATTTTATGCGAGACTTTAGTTGCACGATAGCTGTCTTTCATATAGCCAGTTACGAGCCTGAAGCTTGAAAAGTGGCAGTTTCAATTTTTTTGAATGCCTATTGACTATTGTAATGAGTGTAGTTAGAAAAACTGAACGATCTCTCAAACAGTGCTGTGCTATGGTGGGGGGCAATTATTGTATTTTTGTATCGGATATTCACTTCATGTTCACGAAATCGAACTTTATCATAAAGATACTGCGGTGATTTGTTGATGATTATATTGTGAAATACGGTTAGAGATTGCAATAAGAAACGATTCTTCATTGACAGCCATTGCGACTGAGAAAGCTTATGAGAAATATGCTGAAACTTACGGATGCCATAAATGTAGCGTAAACAGGAATTTTGGACTTTTTGTGTATCCTGCATAAATCTAGACTATCCAAACAGGGAAAATATACAGGTCAACAGTCAACAGGTCAACAGGCATAAATTGGTTTTTGTCTGAGTATTTAGGTATGCCCGGTGGGAGTAAATTAATCTTAAGTTCGCGTAAGCTCTCTGGATATATAATGAAACTCGCTTTTTGAACCTGAAATTATTATCCAACATCAAGCCAAGATTTGTTGCCTCCGGTACAATATTTAGAGTTATACCATTCAAAGAAATATTTACTTGAGGTAAATACCTTTGGCATAATAACTTCGGACCAAACATGAGAACCTGCGTTTTATTAGGATTGAGTTGCAGTTCGTGTTTCACAGAAGAATCATAAATGTTTTGAAGTTCAGTATTGATGTCAGCAACAGCTTGGTTCAGCAATTCTGGTTTAAACGATACATAAAGTTGGGTATCACCAGCGTAAGCGATGATATTGATCTTAGTCAGTATATTTGAGGTATATAAACTAAAAAGCAGAGACCCAAGTATAGATCCTTGCGGAACACCGCGTATTAATCTCACCGATTCAGATAGTTCGCCTTCGAGTTTCACCATTTGATGTCTATTTGTGAAGTATTCTTACAGCATCTTAACGGCTGTTTTAGAGAAGCCAATATAATTGAACATAGATATAAGTATTTCTGGATTCAATGAGTCGAATGCTTTACTGTAGTCCAGTAAGATCAATAACGAGATGTCTCCTGTATCTGTTGCTGCCAATATGTTATCCGTTATTTTAAGCAAAGCTGTTGTACAGCTATGTAGAGGCGTAAAACCTGACTGAAAGGAAGGCATTAGATTAAAGTTACTTATATATTTCCCGATTTGTTTGTTCAAAATGCGTTCCAATAACTGAGACATGGTGGGTAGAATATCTCAAAATATCCAGGCCATAACCTGTCCAGACGATTGTTGTGCTTTCGGGCATTTTGGACGAGGTTCACCAGTTGCTCTCCACCCAGATGACGATCGTTTTGATTCCGGAATGAAGTGATGAATCCATGTTTCATCCATTGCTACATATTGAAGCAAAAATTTCAGTTTATTATGTTTAAACATGACCAAACACTGCTCAGAATCATCAAGACGTTCTTGCTTTTGGTCAACAGTGAGCTCGCGCGGCACCCACTTTGAACAAAGCTTTCTCATAGACAAACGCTCTTGCAAAATAAAGCCAACACGTTCTTTTGATACCTTTACAATATCAGGAAACTTATGAAACTTCACTGTTCAATCATTCGAAACGATTTTGTGGATATTTTTTATGTTTTCTGGTGTAACTGACTCATTTGGACGTCCACTGCGTTCTGCACCATCAGTGTCCCTACGACCACGTTTGAAGTCAGCAAACCAATATGTAATCGTTGTTTCTGATGTAGCGGAGTCCTCATAACACTTTTCAACCCATTGCTTCACTTAAACAGTATTTTTTTCCATCAATAAGTAAAATTAAAATACGAAATAGTTTTTGATCCATCGCTTTGAAAATGACAAAAGTAGTGTCACTCTTAGCACAATAACTCACAAACTTATGACTAGAATATCATGAAATTTCAACAGCTTTCTCTTGAAGGTTAGTACTAACTGAAAAAGCGCCGATTGTAATAAGACTATCGTCATCTATGTGTTAGGCCCGAGACTTTTCAACCCATGTAGTACACGATAACCAAGCAATCCTTCATTCTAATTTAGGAATCCGCTTTGCAATACACCTCTGATTTGTAAGCCTTTCACTGAAATTATCCGAGTCTTTATTCTTTTAACAGGATCGACATTTCCCACTCGGTACATTTTAAATTACCTTCTAAATGTTGCATGTTGGAATGATTTATTCTGCTTCCCTAAATAAAAACTGCGTTGGAGTAATGAACACATAATATATGAGCTTCTCGCTATCGGATTCCGGGTTAAGCCCTTAAGAACGAAAATAAATGAAACAATTAATTCTGAAAAATTGCCTTTTCAAGAGTGGAAGATAAAATATTTTTTCGATCGGGGCATTGAAGTTGAAAGTCCCAATTAAATGGAATCTCCTATATTACAAGCTTGAACTCGGTTCTTTCAATGAAATCTAGAGGATTAACAAACGTAAAATTCTGAAATATCAGTCCGGATTATGTAATTGCTTCTTTTAATTTTGTAAGCATGTTTCGCAGTTATAGCTGGCGGTAATCAGACGCTTTTCTAGCAAACAAAGGGAATATCTCTGTATTTTTTTTGATTTTCACGAACTGTGTAACCCAATTCTTTTGTTCAATCGCGTGTACAAAGAAGACGGTTTTGGGAAAAACTGGATTTCATTACTGATTCACTGGTAAATTGACGATATTCGATTAAAATTGAAGACGCGGTCCGGTTTCATGTTTCGTTGTTGGTAATCATGATTTGTATCATAACTGTCAATGTCATTTTTCTACATAATTCGATACTGAACCGAGTGGAAAGAGGGGGTGGTCAAAGCGCCCAGTGACCAATAATATTACTGCGAGTAATAACAGAGACAAAAATGTTGAGAGCACACAGAGGCAGTAGATATAAATACATATAACCGTCTATAAATCTGAGTTGGCATATCAAGAAGACATATTGGTGCATTTTTAAATCTATGAGTGGTATATTTAGTTATTAGGTATGTTGTTTATGTGTGTCTCATGTAACGACAAATTCATTAGTGTATTTTTTATTCGGGGGCAAAATGATAGATAAAGGGTTAGGTAGGGCTTTTTTGTAAAAAGGTCTGCCAAAGAAAAACATTACGTGCATTTCTGATGTTCTTTGATCTTGGCTTTTGAAAATTGTTTGAATAAATCTATATAATACACAAGTATACATAATATAGACTTCCTATGCCGAAAATTTTGTTTTGTTTTTCAAAGATGATTTAAAAAATTGTATTCTGAAATACCTGCACAATATTCAGCTCATTTTAATATATTTTACTCCAC